TAGCAAAACTTAGGGAGTACACAAGGCGGGATCAGGCAGTGTATTTGATAGATATCCCGCTGGCAAGCCGATTGGAATGAAGGCAATTCATCCGTCCTGGGCATTATGCGTGTGATTCTACTGGCCATTTTCCAAGGACTAGGGTTTAGGGTTTAAGGTGTATTGAGCCAACTTGGGACGATTATCTATGGGTGAAGTCGTGTGAGATCGTTATAACGTTCTCATTTTCTGATAAATGCAAGTGTAAACAGACATTGCGCATCCAATTGCAATTCCCACACACCCCATTCCAAAAAGGATTCAGATGAGTAGGGCGTTCAGAGTTTATGGTCAGGGTATGCTGCCTAGCATAAAAACTCGAAGATGGAGAACGTAATATAAGTCCTTTCCGCCATTGTTGGTCCCACTATGTCTGTGCCCCACACTACTTGAAGGGTCAGGGGACTTAGTAAGTAGGTTAATAACTCCTAGAACCCATATAGTAACCCCAGTTATCCCAGTTATTAATCTACTTACTAAGCCCCCCTGACCCTCCGAGTACTATAGTCCTTAATTAGAAGGGACCCCTTTGATTTTGGCAGCCCAGCAAACAAGCCTCGAACACCAACTTAAACCCTAAACCCTAAACCCTAAGAGCCCATCAGCCTCTAGAGGGTTGGGCTGTGCCATTTGATTTGAGCTACAGGCTAAACTCCTGGTATCCCCTTTCATAAGCCATACGAAATGGCTCTATAATACTCCCCTATATAGTCCCCTATAGAAACTCCTTTGAGGAGTTTAGACTATAGCTCATTTAGGGTAAAGGCTTTAGGGTCTAGGCGTTGAGTGTGCAGGCCTTGGGTGTTACCTCTTGCTGGTTTGGAATGAACCCATGCAAGCTTGGAATTGCTATGAGGAAAGCTGTGGAATTCTATAAGGAGAAATAACGGGACACTTTCTTATGGATAATGAGATGGCCTGCAACTTCAACCTTTTTGTGTGCAATTGCAGTAAAACATACTGCTTCCTGTGCGGGATGCTGAGTCGTGTGTCCCTTGCCCTGACACTGAATCCGACAGCTAGTTCTGGAAGCAAGTAAATGACCAGACTGCTCCGAGGTGCAGTGGCTTGGACTTCTTCGCATAACCTTGGGCGATATTGTCTTGTTTTCAAACAAGGTCCCCATTTAGGTGCGACTATGGCAGCTCTCACGTTGCAAGGTCACCACTAAAAGAGCCCATGGTCTTTAATCAACATGCTGGTCAACAGCGACAACAGGCAGAGGTACCGTCACAACATGGGCTCGACAAAGTGCCAAGTAGACAGAGTATGAGGGTCCTCATGCTAGCAGACCTTCTGACGTGCTTTGGATCCCCCAGAAATGGGCCCTGCCAAAATGAAGCCCGCGTGTGGTTCTGAACGGCACTTGCGGCGACCCTGCACACCCCAAAAGTGCACCCTCATAAAGGAAAGGCCGAAGTACTAAATCTAAAGACCCTGCGCATGCCCAATGGTGAACACCTACGACAATTTTCTTGTTGCTTCCCGCACCGCGTGAAACCTAAACCCTAAACCCTAAACCCTCTCATTCCTAAACCCTGTGCCCAAAACCCTGAACCCTGATACCTAAATCCTTCAGATCAGTGGCTCATTGCCATCTGTTCCTGCGGCTTTCCACCTGGCTCGTGGCAATATCGGAGCTGCTCAAACGCTCTTCTTTGGTCATCTTACTGGGGCTACAACCCAGGGAGCCCAATGTAGCTCAATTAAGGAATATACCTTCAATCAGATTAAGTGTCCTAGTATGATTAAGGCATATTCATTAATTAAATTGTGATGAGCTCTCCGGGAAGTTCACCTGTCAGGGTTTGAGGGTTTAGGGCTTATGAGGGTTTAGTTACTGCGTGGTTGACAGGGGATGCGGGAATACCTTATATAGGATTTATATGGTGATTATATTCGCTCATTCCCTACGAACCACCTGTAAGTCATATGGCGTTTTAAGAACCTTTTGGTCATTGACCAGCAAAAGGGGGGGGGCACACTTCAGCTTTTTCAGCACCATCCTGCTTCTAAGCTCGGTAGAAGCACTTATAGTCCCCCTTAAGTAGATAGAATATAGGATAGATGAGGATCTTGTTTCAATGTACCCAAAGCCATATCCTATCTAGTTAAGGGGGACTATATGCTCAACTCTTCTTTGCCACAGCTCATGTGAGCTACAGTCGATATTTCCTACAGAATTGACGGACACGGGCTTCTTGTCAGGGAGTATGTCCGGGACTACAGTAAACTGCAAGAGGCACCTCCATGTTCACTATCAAGGGTTCTTGAAAAATCCTCATAGTACTGACAGTAACTCCTGTGACTCGTACAGAGGTCCCCATGTCACCCCCCGTCATAGCGTTGGAAGCTACCAGGACAATCCACAAAGGTTATTGCTGCCAAACTGAAGGTTCCAACATGTAGATGACTCTTCACAGGGTGCAGAAACACGAGAATCTCTCAAAACCGGCTTCTACCTTAGTTAGTCGGCACTATGACATCTGCTGGAACCCTCTTGAAGGCCAACACACTGCTGCAAGAAGTCAGCTGTGCTTCTTGGCCAACTTGACTTCCAAAACCCATGCAGCTTCTAACCTCTTGTCGCAGTACGGATCCCAAGAATCATGCGCAAATACAATGACGGATAATCCTGAGTACCCGACAGCACAGCCTGGACCACCCTTACCGCTCCCCTGAGCTCTTAAGGGTTGATGATGCAATTCTGCCTGCCTGCCACTAGACGAAGCATGCAGTTTTGGCTGCTTCGTAGGGTGCATAATGCCATAACGCACGAACATTCTCACAAAGCCCTGCTGCCTGTATGCTTCTCCTTCTCAACCACAAACCTGTCACAGGCTCTCAGATCTGGCTTTACGAGTTGGGGAACAAGGTTCTTGTGAATGCTTTAGGGGCTGAGCTCAAGAGGAAGTCGAGAACGCTGGAGCTATGCAAGCCGGGAGCCTCCCGCATGTTGCAGAACACCAATAGCTGCAGATTCAGGAAAAGAAACCTGCAAACCTCAGCATTTTTCCCTTGTGCACAACGCACACTTTCACCATGCAGCCCGCGCAAGGAAAAAAGCGGTGTCGTTTCTAGATTTCAGAATTCAGGTTCCAATAGTCAGACATACGGCTTCGTAAGGTATATGCTAGTCTCCGTAAATAGGCGAACTATTATCCGTATTAAATTGGGATATCCAAAAAGGTATCCCTAATTTTTGGAAACCCCATAATTACAAGTATAAAAGGACAAAAGGTTCCCTGGCCCTGACCCCTTTTCGAAACACCAATTGCCAAAACCCTGGAGACCACTCCGAGCTAGAATGCGCCATGTAGCGGTTTCAAAAAGGGAGTATATGGGGAGCAGGGAACTATAGCCCCGATATTGGAGAATAAATTGGAAAAGAACATGGATAATAAAATGGAAACTGGGGACTGGGGTTTAGTTGGGGGGTAGCCTAGAAATTAATACCGAAGCCAACACTTTCCTGAGTCTCTGGCACTCCAGTACTCCATCGGAACTGCGCAGAGGCTCCATGAATACCTAGACCCTAGACTTTAAACCTTTAGCCACAATCTTTAAACTTCTGGGTCGCCAAATCCCATGCCCTAAATGGCCCTAAATCATACTTTCCTTCTGTCGCCAAGACGCTTTTCAACTTTCCCTGGATCCTAGACACTTGGCATCCCTAAGCCCTACTTGGAGGGTCAGTTGGACTTGGTAACACTGGAAAGAAAACTGGAAACGACGATAACATGTAGGATATAGGGCCAGAAGTATAATATATCCCAACACCCTTTTGAACAACTTAGGCCCATACATTACGCCAGACCCTTGAGCTATAGGCCCTAAACCCAAAA